GGAAACAAAGTATACCAAATAAAACGTACCCAGTCGATCGAAAGCTTCTTTCAGCGATTCTTCCAATGATACTGGATGGGCATTCAAGGCTCGTACGAATTCAGAAGGAAGATGTGCACAGGAATAAGCTGAACATTCTGCCCCTCCATGTCCGTCGAATATGGCCATTAGTCCAACGTCCGCCTTAAAAAGGGCTATGATCCTCCAGGGATTCAAGATATAAGCAAAATCAGGAAACAAATCACTCGTACTCACTCTTGCCACATCAGGAAACACCAAACTCAAAGTCGGCATCGCCAACATACGATCTTCCTGTCGTGGTCTACGGCCCTTCTCAGATTCACAGGAAATAGGAAATTGATCCCAGGCTTTAGGACGTACTAAATTGTAACGCTATCGACAAAAAAAAAATTAAAAGAATAGGCAAGGCTGAAAGCACGCACCTCGTAAAATCTTTTCTCCACTCATAATCTTTTTCGCAAAAGCATGCATGCTCGTAATTATTTGTCGGCACCATGTGCCACCATCCGACTGCTGATATTCTCCTATACATATTAAAGATAAATGAACATTTTGAAAAGTGATGGTGCTTAAACTAGATAAATATTCACCTTCAACATAGTCTTGTCTATGTGCCGTTAGCTCATTGGCATGTTCGTTTACGAACGCATCCGCAAATGTGTAAGCCAACCACATTGGAGCAAGCCTAAACCCGATGTAAGGCTTGGTATTTTAGAAGGCATTACCACAGTCTTTGATAAAGAAAACAACAAAGCTGAGCTTAAATTCCGAAAAACAGAGAGGATGAAATAATGAAAAAAGGACATACAAAATCAAGCAATTTCTAGCAAAAAAAAAATATTTGAAAAATGGTATACCTGTTGAGCATGCTTTCAACAACAATATTAAAAGCATCGAAATAGGCGTCATGCTTGATCACACGAATGAATGGAGCACGATACCGCAAGATTGCGCCATCGGCAACTGGAACTGAAAACTTATAAACGAATGAAAGAACACAGTGTGTTATCAAAGAATAATATTTAAGTTACTCTTCTGTTGCCTCTCTTATTTTTCTACAAGTTTTAATGCCTGTGGTGCAAAGGTCAATCATACTTTCTAAACATCGCTTTCTTCCGACACTCAAAGTTTTTTCCCTCGCCATTGCAAATGGTACTTGTCCGCGAGGGAAGTAGGATGGCATTGTAAAAAGAGGATGTTTATCAAACCCAGCTTGCCGAAATACATTTAGTGCGATAGGGAGCGGAGGGTGAGGGAGAGAGTGGAGAATGAAGGTTGGATAATACTTGACTCACTTCTACGACATCCCCCCTCCTTTTTAGACCCTCAAAACATTCCCCTCTTATGTGTCTCTTGACCCAAGCCAATAGGGTGGAAAAATGTAATTAAGACAGAACTATAAAGCTAAGAATTGCAGTGTTTATACGGCGATAAACTGAATTTCCTGCGCAATCGAATTGTATATATGAGACAGTTGATATGGAATATGGCAACCTTTCAATCGCGTGTAGGCATGTTTTTCTCTGCTTCAGCAAAATGCGAAGCCCTTCCACTCAACGAAACCATTAGTCAGCAAGATTTATCGCTATGATGAGGTAACGGATATCTTAGCAAAAAGCATGATTGGTTTATTACAGTGAGCACAAAAGCTGGGAGCAATTCTAATAGATTTACAAATGATGTTACGAGTTATAAGCTTCTTACCTACTTATTTACCCTTTTCTAAATTAGCAGAGTCGTCATGCATACAAAAAGAGTGCATGGTTTATAGCAAAAATAATAAGATATCCTTGCATTTAAAGAAGAGCTCATGTCTAATTATGAGGTTAAAAAGCAACACATCTACATTCTACCGACAGTTACGTATTTTCAAGTACATAGAAAAGAAACAAAGGAGCTCAAAATCCATGAATTACTCATTCTAAAGATAATGAAGAGATAACTCCATTTAACCAGAAACATGCACTTTTGATCGATATAAAAAACGTTCGATTAGCCAAAACCAAAGAGAAAAAGAGATTGTACGTACAAACATAGGAAATAAATTTACCTGCTTCATCGTCACCGGCAAAACCTTCAGATAGGTGTTGAAAGACTGTTTTCCCAGTCTCATCTTTCCAAGCCTCCACGTCAATGAATGCGTTATCACCACCATCTATACCATTTTCAGCATTTTTAGAGGCCATAACTGAAGTGATACACATGTCAAAGATTGAAAGAAAAGAAGCAGTGTGGAGATAAGCGCGAAAGCGAATTTAGCGATTGAAAAAGCGTTACGACTGGGCGGATTAGCAGAGGTTCCAAGCAGGCAAGCGCGAATGACTCGACACTCCGACGAGAAGAGTGTCGACGACTTTGCAAATGACAATACTGCCGCCCACTTTCCAGAAAGATGTCACGTCATGTGAAATCACTTTTTTTTAGAATTTATTGGTAAAAGCTGTTGCAGCTCTCATTTTGTTTGAAATCTCAGCTTAGCTACGTCATCTAGAGCAATCCCCAGTTCTGCAATATATGAGCTGATTAGCCATGTGTTCCAACCCTTTTTGGTTTATAAATTCAGTGTA